ATTGAGTGATCAAGTGGTTTCCGAATTAATATTGGCTTAATTAAACAACTTCATATCCCCGAGCGATCTAAAAGGCATACTTATCTACATTGGTCCAATGCATTTAAGATTTTAATGTTAGAATACTCTCAACAAGACTTATACCCAAGAATACAAAAAGAGAAGCAAAGTCGCTTGTCATTTAGGCCAGTTACAATTGGCATGGGGACAAAATGAAAGGTCAATGGGGAAAAACTATTTTGGGGAACAATACCTTTATCTAGCTTTGTGCACACAGGTTTTAGTCGTCTACAACTACATGCGTATCTAGGTTAGTACAAGTTATTATGGACCCTTAACATCCTCATGAAACTGCATAGACAGGGTTGCCAAATCTCAGACTTTCAGGGTATTGACAATGCTAAATAATCATGATTCAAATCAAACATTCCATCATGTATCTGCAAATCCCATAGTTAGTATTTTTTTTTTTTTTTGGAAAAAATTATGGTTAGTTGGCCCTGAACATACTTCACTGCCCTTTTGTGTGTATGTGTGTACGAGAGAGAGTGTGTATTTTAGTTAAATCAGACTATTGATTCTAATCTAAGAGGATATAGACCGCGTTTGGTTAGTAGGAATGAAACAATTAAAAGAAATTAAAAGAAATTGGAACGGACATTGGGTAATCAAAATGGTACATAAAATTTAATTAAGATGTTTGTAACACCTTTGGATTGAATGTAAGATGTTTGTAACACTTTGAAAAGTGACCTGGGCATACAACGATGATAAGGTGACAAGGAAGTGGTGGCTAAGGTGGCTAGCATAGATCACCTAAAGGGAGATGAATAGGCGATTTTAAAAATTCTTGACAAATTTAAAGCAGAATTCAAAAGATCAAGAACAAAATCTGCACTTAAAGTGTAACGTTCAAATTTTAAACAAACTTTAAAAGCAAGTGTGTAATAGAATGTAATAAGCGAAGGAGTTTTAAGGGATGAGAAAATCTGCACACAAAACGTATGGTGATATAGCTTAGATCAAGCCTACATCCACTCCCCACGTCGACAACCTACTGGTTGGATTCCACTAGATGATCAATGAGAGATTACAATAAAGTTGTGCCGCTTATAACCAAGCGCTTCCACCCAAAGTTGGTGGTGCTTATACCCAAGCCAATAGATCACACTATCTCACACCTAAGCACACACTTATGACATTGTCTACATCTCTTAATTGATTACACTTTACAGCTCATGAAAGACAAGTATATAGATCAAAGATCACTCAGATTTTGGAATTCTAGATTTTGGACTTTGTCTCTTACTTTTGCTCATCGGCACCTTGATCTCCTTTTATACTCCTCCACTTCCAATCTAGCCATAGGAAAGTCTCCAAATAATCATCTTCCAATCTTCATGTTGGACAGATTTGTATGAAGAAAATTGAGTAGCCGTTGAGGAAAAAAATCTGAATCTCCACTGATTCCGGTCGGCCATACAACCAAAGCCTTGATTTTTATAAGTAGAGCTTCTCCATTTGGAAAATAACTTGTCTCAAGATTGATTTGCTAATCATTTAAGATGTTTTGTATATTAAACCATCGCAAGACAATCTTCAAGATTGAATCAGTCAAATCTTTCTAAGTGTGAAATCCGAGCCAGATCACTAGCCGTTATATTAAATCTGAACTTGTGTCACATTTTGAACTTTATTACATTCTGGACTTACATTATGAACTTTTGTTACAATCTGAACTTGTGTCATGATGGGAACATAAGTAGTTCTCTGAGTCTGAAGTTCTTCATCTCCAGTACAAAGTCTAAAGTTACTCATCTGAAGTATAAAGTCTGAACCTGTTTTACTTGAAGTAATTTCACAATCTGAACAAGATTAAGATTGCCATGTGCTTCTCTTTCAAGACACACATGGATAGTTTTGTCAATTTCAAATCTATTAAGATGTTTTCTCAACAATGGCAACGCGCATGTGAGCTTTTGCGGCATGTGGTGGCCCTTGGCTTCCACTGTGTTCATGATGGTGGTCTGGTTGTCCACAGTGTCAAGTGAAAGAAAGAAGAAAAATGAAAAAAAAAATGTCAACCCAAGCCAACGTGGAAAGAGATGACGACAAAAATGACACGTTGGACAAAATTGGCAACATTTGTATAGAAAATTAACTTACGACATATTTTTTTATATGAAAAAGGACTAAAGTCGAATGCAAAAATTTAACGTTTTAAATCTACTATCTCTATTTTATCACCTAATAATAAAACATGAAGTAACTCCGTAGGAGATAATGCAAATAAATTAGTATCAAGCATTTATCAATTCCAATATTAGCAAGCCAATTAGTAAAGCGATTTCCTTCACAAAAGTTATGTTGCAATTTTAACTCAAAGTGAGAGCGTAATAGTATTCTAATATCTTTAAGTAAAGCAGGGCAAGAATTATCAATGATAAGCTCTAACTTAACAACATCAATGATAGCTCTAGAATCAATCTTAATAATGATCTTATGAAAATCAAATTGTTTTGCAAAGTTGCTTTCCAACCACATAGCCCAAAGTTCTGCTTGTGTCGATGAACATATATATACGAATGCGGAAAAACCACCAAGGCAGTCACCCAACTTAGGGCAAATTTCGGTTTGAAGTAAAAACTTGTGATTTTTTATGAGACAAAAAAAAGTTCGAGATAGAATTAAGACTGAACCTAAAATTGGAGGTATTTTAGGGAATTAGGCCATCATAAATGAGAAATATTATGTCATATTTCTTGATTAAGTTGTTTTCTTATCATAAATATTCCTTCATTTGTGAAATTTCTTTTTTTTTCTTAAGTCATACATATTAAGTATTATTTATTCCCACCTCTCCCCGTGGCTAAAGACCATAACCAATACAAGAAAGATTAAATTCCCGTTCCACTCTTTTGATTCTCATTAAATATATCTGGCCTAAGGCTAAATCCCTAACCGGAATAAGTTAAAATGATTACGCTCTACACTAATTAAGACCATATCTTACTAGCCATTAATAACTTTTTTTGAAATCTACTTCAACCAATATTATAAGATTTCAGATAAACTTTATACAACCTGGCCAATTATATTTAAGTTCAGAAATAATTACCATTCTTCCATCTCTATTTTTCGTCTACGAAATATATGATATAAGCGCTATAGTTATTTCGTGGTAAATTACAAGGGAGTGAGTGCAACTTTTAGAAATTCAACTTCGAATGGGAGACAGAGGCCCGGTTGAGTAATAGATAAGATAACACTTACCCTGGTCACCATTTTGTTAGATTATTTATTGTATTTATTTTGGGGTCTTGGCCATCACGAGAGGGGATTGGGTCATTATGAATGGTATCAAAGCAGGACAACCTTCAATAGATTTGTGATTTGTGGATGGCTAGGCTTATAAGCCCATCGGCATCCGATAAAGATAGGAGTGATTGCTAGAGTGAAACGAGTTGAAGAAGGTGTTGCTCCTAGCAGGATTCAAGGATAGTAGGCGGGTAGGAATAGATTAGACCACATATCGAATATAGAGAGTATGGTTAGGTGATGTGACAACATTAATCTTTCAAGTGAGGGAGTTTGTAATAGTCAAAAAAATCCTACATAATCATACATTGATAAGAGAGGTCATGTTAAGTGATTTAGAAGTGAATATTTGGAGATAAGTACATTGGAAGTCCTAAAACTTGTCACAAAAGTGTAATCGAGTCCTAAAACTTTCAAATAGTGCAATCAAGTTTTAAAACTTATCACGAAAGTGCAATCAAGTCCTAAAAGTTTCAAAAATGCAATCAACGGAATGACTTGATTGGACCAATTTGACAAGTTTTAGGACTTGCCATTTTTAAAAGTTTTAGAACTCAATTGCACTTTCGTGATAAGTTTTAGGACTTGATTGCACTTTTTGAAGTTTTAGGACTCAATTGCACTTTCGTGATAAGTTTTAAGACTTAATTGCAATTTTTAAAAGTTTTAGGACTCAATTCATTTTCATGAAATGCACTTATACCAAAATATTTATCCCAAATAGTTGTCATTTTGTGTGGTTATTCAAAGTATTTCTTTTAGATTGGTTATAATCCCAGTAGGCCAAATCCCCAAAAAGACCTTATATTTGTCATATGTTCCATACATATTGATATGGGCCTATCTGAACAACGCATCCTTCGACAATTGAATCATCCAACAACAATGACCTCTATCAGGGGCAACGAATTCGATGGCAGTGAGAGCTTCGCCACCTAAAGAGAGACAACTCGAAGATGGTCCCCTCATTGGCCCTAGCACTGGGTACTGGAGTGGCGAAGGGTCGCCATTGACTACGCTAGCAAATTCGCTGCAATGATGCGGTTGGTAGGGAAGTAGGGTGAGTCTACCCTCTCGCGTGAGAAAATCAAGGCAAATTTGCCATGCTCCGATCTAACAATCGATGCTGACAAGTTTTAGATTGGGCCATTGACAAGACACAAGATCCTACGGTCGACATTGACAAGCTTAGATCCAACGGCTGACAAAGGTGTCGGTTTTCCCCGCATAAACTCACAGGAGGGCAGACTCACCCGGCAAATCGACATCCAGACTAGATGTCCATATTTGTTGTAGATGTATTCTGTTACAGTTAGTGTTAACAAAAATATATGACGCCACAATTGAGAATTGGAAAGTCTTCCAGAATTTGTAAAAAAAAAAGATTTTCCAGCTCGGAGAAAAAGTATTTCAACCTTAACACTATTATATTCTCATCACCCCTTTTTCTTGGTAAGCGACTACGTCATTCCCTACATTTTGTCATGCTGTGATAAGTTGATCCTGTTGACCAAGACAATTTGACCTACAGTTGTAGCGTTAAGGAACCATGGTTTTCTAGAACATCTCCGTCTCAATTGTAACGTGGAGAAAGAACTAGTGGAGATCCTCCCAATTGCAACGCTGAAATCTATCTTTCTAAGGTGAACTCTTTTGGAGTTTCCATCAGCTGAGACTCATCAAACCAAGCACAACTTTGGAGTCTTCTTCATTCCATAAGGTTCATATGAACTTGATTTTTTCGAACCTTAGCTTTGCCTGCAGAATGTTTCAGGTTTGGTGATTCTTCCAAACACTGGCTCAGGTTCTCATCACTCAAAACAACTGGTTTTCCTCTTATATAACTAGAAGGGGCGGGTTGCTTTATCTTATAAACCTAAAGCACACTGACCCATGTCTGTTTCCCAATCAGGAATGGGTTCTGGCTTCCCATAAGGGACAATTTGCATTGGATGAAAGGGGGATTCAGGTATAACCTCTTCTTCCTCATTTACCACAGCTTCCTTGGAGTGAAAAATCTTCCAAAATGGGCTTGAATCTCCAATCTCAACTCTCAATCACTGCCGAGAGCGACTTCCATTTCTATTCCCTGCATTAGATTCATCATAGGCAATCTCTTTGCAGCATCCCACGTGATGACCTATTTTCCCACATGAGTAACAGAAAGGCGGAAAGCCTTTCAGTCTTTCCTCATGGTGCTCTGAAAGGCGTTGATGTTGTTACCAGGTTTTGACAACAGTCTGCTATGTAGGATATGTTGGTATTCCCGGAGTTGTGACCACTCCATCCATTATTGCCATGTCTTCATTTAACCGTGGTTTCCCTAATTCTTTACACAGGGCTGCGACTCTGTCGCTTGAAAAGGCTTAATCACTTGTTAAGATCAGCTGACATGGAGGGGACAGAGAAAGCTCTACCATGGAGAGAGAATCATTACTTACGTTAATTCATGGAAAGAAGATAAAAAAAACCCGCACTCGCTACCAAACTGGTGTAGTGACCTGGGATTGATACATTGAAACTCAAAAGTGTCTCATCTTACATGCCCGAAAAGTTAAAAAAGAATCAAATAATGATTGAGGACTCATTCAGAGCTTTCTCTGTACATTGAAGTGAACTCACAATGATCAAATTTGACAGACCTAGTCCTCCTGCAGGCCCCTGGAACCGGGAACGTCGATCCACTGAAGTTGGAGCTCGACCTCACCACGCTCCACATTGCAGAGCCGGAGCACCATGTCCTGCACCACTTTGCCATCACTCCACACGATACAGCTCTCCTCTGCCAAGCAGTTGTCCCTGCCTGGCTTCACTCTGGTGATCACGGTTCCACTCTGGACATCATCCAATCTCATCCTCAACGCATCAAGAAAGGGTCCGATGTGTATCTCGGCGTCCCCCATCTTGTCGTCAAGTTTGAATTTGTCCTTGTCGTACACCATCAATTTTATGGAGAGGCTCGGGTCGGCAATCGAGAGAGTCAGCTCGTCGTTCCACTCTGGGTTCAGGTTCTTCTTGATCACCCGAGTTTTCAGTTTCTGCAAGAAGCATCAAGAATGTAATTGGGTCAGTTCAGCTGAAAGCAACATTGGACTTTAAACTACTTAAATTAAGAGAAGCAGAAATCGAAGAGTGGGCTGATTGACGTACATGTTTGCCCATTCTGATGACAACATAAGGATCACTGCTTCGGAGGTCTCGGATTGCGAGGTTCACTCCTCTGTGGACGTGAATTCTCAAAAGTCCCAAAAGATGTTCCATTTAGTACAAAATAGATTTGCTCTTGTCCTTAAATAAGAGAGAATGAAATAAATCGCCGAAGTTAGAAGGAGGCAGTGCCGCAGGGGCGAAATCTACGTGCTTCTGATATCGTTTTCTGGATGAGAAAGAATGCAAACTGGGAATTTGCTCGGTTCTCTGATGCCAATGCCCGATGTCCGGTCTGGTCTTTTTATACTGAAAAGGTTAGAGGCATAAAGAGTGATTTACACGTCAAATGATTCTGGGTTTGACTTTGAAAACTTGACTCGGCCATGTAATCAATTCAACAATGATTACGCGCAGTTTGAACTGCTTCAATTGGCTCCTTCTTCTGTACAGTGAAAAGTTCGGTCAACAAGTTGCGGTGGTGATGGTTCAACTTTACGCAAAGGCCGGCAATTTGACGAGATGGTCAAAGGTGAGAGTGAGAGGGACGATGTGACCATGTCCATGATCCTTTAGCCTAAAGTTTTTTCTTCTGGGACGTCATTGTCCGAATCTGCGCATCCCCAGATCAGTCGAACATTCCGGCGATAGTAATAGCATCGAGACTGATCTCTGTGATTCTTGGAGAAAGAAAGCACTTGGATGCTATCCGATGAGATGGCATCACTTAGAAGTCGTACGAGCTCCTTGTCATCATCAATAAAGAGCATTTTTTTTTTTTTGAATTAAGTGATCAAGTGGTGTTCGAATTAATATTGGCTTAATTGGACAACTTCATCTCCCCGAGCAATCTAAAAGGCATACTTATCTACATTGGTCCAGTGCATTTAAGATTTTAGTGTTAGAGTGCTCTCAACAAGACTTATACCTAAGAACAAAAAAAGAGGAGCAAACTCCCTTTTCATTTAAGCCAGTTACTATTGGCACGAGGACAAAATGAAAGGTCAATGGGGAAAGACTATTTTGGGGAATAGTACATTTATCTAGCTTTGTGCACATAGGTTTTAGTCGTCTACAACTACATGCGTATCTAGGTTAGTACAAATTATTATGGACCCTTAACATCCCGATGGAACTGCATAGACAGGGTTGCCAAATCTCAAACTTTCAGGGCATTGACAATGCCAAATAATCATGATTCAAATCAAACATTCCATCATGTATCCACAAATCTCATGGTTAGTATTTTTTTTTTTTCAAAAAATTATGGTTAGTTGGCCCGAACATACTTCACTGCCCTTTTGTGAGTATGTGTGTATGAGAGAGACTGTGTATTTTAGTTAAATCGGACTATTGATTCTAATCTGAGAGGATATAGGCCTCGTTTGGTTAGTAGGAATGAAATAATTAAAAGAAATTAAAAGGAATTGGAACGAACATTGGGTAATCAAAATGGTACATAAAATTTAATTAAGATGTTTGTAACACCTTTGGATTGAATGTAAGATGTTTGTAACACTTTGAAAAGTGACCTGGGAATACAACGATGACAAGGCGACGAGGAAGTGGTGGCTAAGGTGGCTAGCACGAATCACCTAAAGGGAGATGAATAGGCGATTTTAAAAATTCTTGACAAATTTAAAGCGGAATTCAGAAGAACAAGAACAAAATATGCACTTAAAGTGTAACGTTCAGATTTTAAACAAACTTTAAAAGCAAGTGTGCAATAGAATGTAATAAGCAGAAGGAGGTTTAAGGGATGAGAAAATCTGTACACAAAACGTATGATGGTACAGCTTAAGATCAAGCCTACGTCCACTCCCAACGTCGACAGTCTACTGGCTAGATTCCACTAGATGATCATTGAGAGACTACAGTCAAGTTGTGCCGCTTATACCCAAGCGCTTCTACCCAAAGTTGGTGCTGCTTATACTCAAGCCAATAAATCACACTATCTCACACCTAAGCACACACTTATGACACTGTCTACACCTCTTAATTAATTACACTTTACAACTCATGAAAGACAAGTATATAGATCAAAGATCACTCGGATTTTGGACTTTGTCTCTTGCTTTTGCTCTCGGCACCTAGGTCTCCTTTTATACTCCTCCACTTCCAATCTAGCCATACGAAAGCCTCTAGATAATCATCTTCCAATCTTCACGTTGGACAGATTTGTATGAAGAAGATTGAGTAGCCGTTAAGGAACAAAATCTGAATTTCCACTGATTCCAGTTGCCCATACAACCAAAGTCTTGATTTTTATAAGTAGAGCTTCTCCATTTAGAAAATAACTTGTCTCAAGATTGATTTGCTAATCATTTAAGATGTTTTGTATATTAAACCGTCGCAAGACAATCTTCAAGATTGAATTAATCAAATCTTTCTAAGTGTGAAATCCAAACCAGATCTCTAGCCGTTATATTAAATCTAAACTTGTGTCATATTTTGAACTTTATTACATTTTGGACTTACGTTATGAACTTTTGTTACAACCTGAACTTGTGTCATGATGGGAACATAAGTAGTTCTCTGAGTCTAAATCTCCAGTATAAAGTCTGACATTATTCATCTGCAGTATAAAGTCTAAACCTGTTTTACTTGAAGTAATTTCACAATATGAACAAGATTAAGACTGCCATGTGCTTTTCTCCCAAGAATAACTTCCCGAATAAAAATACTTCAAAGCATTATCAAATTTACAAGACACACATTGATAGTTTTGTCAACTTCAAAATCTATTAAGACGTTTTCTCAACAATGACAACACGCATGTTAGGTTTTGCGGCATGTGGTGGCCCTTGGCTTCCACTGTGTTCATGATGGTGGTCTGGTTGTCCACAGTGTAAAGTGAAAGAAAGAAGAAGAATGAAAAAATAAATAAATAAAATGTCAACTCAAGCCAACGTGGAAAGAGATGACAACAAAAATGACACGTTGAACAAAATTGGCAACATAGGGATAGAAAATTAACTTACGACATATTTTTTATATGAAAAAGGGCTAAAGTCAAATGCAAAAATTTAACGTTTTAAATCTACTATCTCTATTTTATCACCTAATAATAAAACATGAAGTAACTCCGTAGGAGATAATAAAAAGAAATTAGTATCAAGCGTTTATCAATTCCAAGATTAGCAAGCCAATCAGTAAAGTATTTCCTTCCCAAAAGTTATGTTGTAATTTTAACTCAAAGTGAGAGCACAATAGTATTCTAATATCTTTAAGTAAAGCAGGGCAAGAATTATCAATGATAAGCTTTGACCTAACAACATCAATGATAGCTCTAGAATCAATCTTAATAATGATCTTATGAAAATCAAATTGTTTTGCAAAGTTTGATTTCCAACCACATAGCTCAAAGTTCTGCTTGTGTCGATGAACATATATTGACGAATGCGGAAAAACCACTAAGGCAGTCACCCAACTTAGGGCAAATTTAGGTTTGATGTAAAAACTTGCAATTTTTTATGAGACAAAAAAAAGTTCGAGATAGAATTAAGACTGAACCTAAAATTGGAGGTATTTTAGGGAATTAGGCCATCATGAATGAGAAAATATTATGTCATATTTCTTGATTAAGTTGTTTTCTTATCATAAATATTCCTTCATTTGTGAAATTTCTTTTTTTTTCTTAAGTCATACATATTGAGTCTTATTTATTCCCACCTCTCCCCGTGGCTAAAGACCATAACCAATACAAGAAAGATTAAATTCCCATTCCACTCTTTTGATTCTCATTAAATATATCTAGCCTGAGGCTAAACCCCTAACCAGAATAAGTTAAAATGATTACGCTCTACACTAATTAAGACCATATCTTACTGGTCATAATATATATATATTTTTTAAATCTACTTCAACCAATATTATAAGATTTCAGATAAACTTTATACAACCTGGCCAATTATATTTAAGTTCAGAAATAATTACCATTCTTCCATCTCTATTTTTCGCCTACGAAATATATGATATAAGCGCTATTGTTATTTCGTGGTAAATTACAAGGGAGTGAGTGCAACTTTTAGAAATTCAACTTCGAATGGGAGACAGAGGCCCGTTTGAGTAATAGATAAGATAACACTTACCCTTAAACGGTCACCATTTTGTTAGATTATTTATTGTATTTATTTTGGGGTCTTGGCCATCGCGAGAGGGGATTGGGTCATTATGAATGGTATCAGAGCAGGACGACCTTCAATAAATTTGGGATTTGTGGATGGCTAGGCTTATAAGCCCATTGGCATCCAATAAAGATAGGAGTGATTGCTAGAGTGAAACGAGTTGAAGAAGGTGTTGCTTCTAGCAGGATTCAAGGATCGTAGACGGGGTAGGAATAGATTAGACCACATATCGAATATAGAGAGTATGGTTAGGTGATGTGACAACATTAGTCTTTTAAGTGAGGGAGTTTGTAATAGTCCAAAAATCCTACATAATCGCATATTGATAAGAGAGGCCATGTTAGGTGATTTATAAGTGAATATCTAGAGATAAGTGCATTAGAAGTCCAAAAACATGTCACGAAAATGCAATTAAAACCTAAAACTTTGAAAAAGTGCAATCAAATTCTAAAACTTGTCACGAAGTGCAATCGAGTCCTAAAAATTTCAAATAATGCGATCAAGTTTTAAAACTTGTCACGAAAGTGCAATCAAGTCCTAAAACTTTCAAAAATGCAATCAACGGAATGACTTGATTTGACCAATTTGACAAGTTTTAGGACTTGCACTTTTTAAAAGTTTTAGTACTTAATTGTACTTTCGTGATAAGTTTTAAGACTTAATTGCACTTTTTGAAAGTTTTAGGAGTCAATTCATTTCCATGAAATGCACTTATACCAAAATATTTATCCCAAATAGTTGTCATTTTGTGTGGCTATTCAGAGCATTTCTTTTAGATTGGTTATGATCCAAATAGGCCAAATCCCCAAAAAGACCTTATATTTGTCATATGTTCCATACATATTGATATGGGCCTATCTGAACAACGCATCCTTCGACAATTGAATCATCCAACGACAACGACCTCGATCAGGGGCAACTTTGCCATGCTCCGATCTAACAATCGATGCTGACAAGTTTTAGATTGGGCCATTGACAAGACACAAGATCCTACGGTCGACATTGACAAGCTGAGATCCAACGGCTGACAAAGGTGTCGGTTTTCCCCGCATAAACTCACAGGAGGGCAGACTCACCCGGCAAATCGACATCCAGACTCGATGTCCATATTTGTTGTAGATGTATTCTGTTACAGTTAGTGTTAACAAAAATATATGACGCCACAATTGAGAATTGGAAAGTCTTCCAGAATTTGTACAAAAAAAAGATTTTCCAGCTCGGAGAAAAAGTATTTCAACCTTAACACTATTATATTCTCATCACCCCTTTTTCTTGGTAAGCGACTACGTCATTCCCTACATTTTGTCATGCTGTGATAAGTTGATCCTGTTGACCAAGACAATTTGACCTACAGTTGTAGCGTTAAGGAAACATGGTTTTCTAGAACATCTCCGTCTCAATTGTAACGTGGAGAAAGAACTAGTGGAGATCCTCCCAATTGTAACGCTGAAATCTATCTTTCAAAGGTGAACTCTTTTGGAGTTTCCATCAGCTGAGATTCATCAAACCAAGCACAACTTTGGAGTCTTCTTCATTCCATAAGGTTCATATGAACTTGATTTTTTCGAACCTTAGCTTTGCCTGCAGAATGTTTCAGGTTTGGTGATTCTTCCAAACACTGGCTCAGGTTCTCATCACTCAAAACAACTGGTTTTCCTCTTATATAACTAGAAGGGGCGGGTTGCTTTATCTTATAAACCTAAAGCACACTGACCCATGTCTGTTTCCCAATCAGGAATGGGTTCTGGATTCCCATAAGGGACAATTTGCATTGGATGAAAGGGGGATTCAGGTATAACCTCTTCTTCCTCATTTACCACAGCTTCCTTGGAGTGAAAAATCTTCCAAAATGGGCTTGAATCTCCAATCTCAACTCTCAATCACTGCCGAGAGCGACTTCCATTTCTATTCCCTGCATTAGATTCATCATAGGCAATCTCTTTGCAGCATCCCACGTGATGACCTATTTTCCCACATGAGTAACAGAAAGGCGGAAAGCCTTTCAGTCTTTCCTCATGGTGCTCTGAAAGGCGTTGATGTTGATACCAGGTTTTGACAACAGTCTGCTATATAGGATATGTTGGTATTCCCGGAGTTGTGACCACTCCATCCATTATTGCCATGTCTTCATTTAACCGTGGTTTCCCTAATTCTTTTACACAGGGCTGCGACTCTGTCGCTTGAAAAGGCTTAATCACTTGTTAAGATCAGCTGACATGGAGGGGACAGAGAAAGCTCTACCATGGAGAGAGAATCATTACTTACGTTAATTCATGGAAAGAAGATAAAAAAAACCCGCACTCGCTACCAAACTGGTGTAGTGACCTGGGATTGATACATTGAAACTCAAAAGTGTCTCATCTTACATGCCCGAAAAGTTAAAAAAGAATCAAATAATGATTGAGGACTCATTCAGAGCTTTCTCTGTACGTTGAAGTGAACTCACAATGATCAAATTTGACAGAACTAGTCCTCCTGCAGGCCCCTGGAACCGGGAACGTCGATCCACTGAAGTTGGAGCTCAACCTCACCACGCTCCACATTGCGGAGCCGGAGCACCATGTCCTGCACCACTTTGCCATCACTCCACCCGATACAGCTCTCCTCTGCCAAGCAGTTGTCCCTGCCTCGCTTCACTCTGGCGATCACGGTTCCACTCTGGACATCATCCAATCTCATCCTCAACGCATCAAGAAAGGGTCCGATGTGTATCTCGGCGTCCCCCATCTTGTCGTCAAGTTTGAATTTGTCCTTGTCGTACACCATCAATTTTATGGAGAGGCTCGGGTCGGCAATCGAGAGAGTCAGATCGTCGTTCCACTCCGGGTTCAGGTTCCTCTTGACCACCCGAGTTTTCAGTTTCTGCAAGAAGCATCAAGAATGTAATTGGGTCAGTTCAGCTGAAAGCAACATTGGACTTTAAACTACTTAAATTAAGAGAAGCAGAAATCGAAGAGTGGGCTGATTGACGTACATGTTTGCCCATTCTGATGACAACATAAGGATCACTGCTTCGGAGGTCTCGGATTGCGAGGTTCACTCCTCTGTGGACGTGAATTCTCAAAAGTCCCAAAAGATGTTCCATTTAGTACAAGATAGATTTGCTCTTGTCCTTAAATAAGAGAGAATGAAATAAATAGCCGAAGTCAGAAGGAGGCAGTGCCGCAGGGGCGAAATCTACGTGCTTCTGATATCGTTTTCTGGATGAGAAAGAATGCAAACTGGGAATTTGTTCGGTTCTCTGATGCCAATGCCCGATATCCGGTATGGTGTTTTTATACTGAAAGGTGAGAGGCATAAAGAGAATGATTTACACGTCAAATGATTCTGGGTTTGACTTTGAAAACTTGACTCGGCCATGTAATCAATTCAACAATGATTACGCGCAGTTTGAACTGCTTCAATTGGCTCCTTCTTCTGTACAGTGAAAAGTTCGGTCAACAAGTTGCGGTGGTGATGGTTCAACTTTACGCAAAGGCAGGCAATTTGACGAGATGGTCAAAGGTGAGAGTGAGAGGGACGATGTGACCATGTCCATGATCCTTTAGCCTAAAGTTTTTTCTTCTGGGACGTCATTGTCCGAATCTGCGTATCCCCAGATTAGTCGAACATTCCGGCGATAGTAATAGCATCGAGACTGATCTCTGGGATTCTTGGAGAAAGAAAGCACTTGGATGCTATCTGTAACGTCCTCAATTTCAATTCCTAGGAAATGGCTATGGTTTAAGTTTGGTAGTTTTCCAATTGGAACCAAGTTTTACTCTTGTTTTGAAAAATCCAATTTCGGATCCTTTATACCCCTCGTTTTGTTATTTTTGTGGAGACTTTTGTGGTCCGAATTTCCAAACACTTTCTTCTTGAAAGTTTCTCCAAACATCTTGAAGTTTTACATACTTTAATTTTAGAATTTTTGGACTTGATATGAGTGGTACGATGGCCTGATTTTCGGACCGTGTAAAACTGCCTAGAATAGATATTTCGGTGATGTTCACCCTTTCTTTATTTTCTACAAGCTTTTCTGGGATGATTTTAGAAAAGTTTCCTTCACAAAAGTTGTTGAGAACTTCCTTGTCTATAACGCATATAAATTTGGGAATTTTTCAAGATGATTTGGATTCTAGACAGAGCTTACTTTGAGAAACAAGAATTCTGTTCCAGTGAACTATTTTTAGTCTGTCTTTGAGCTACTAAAAATGGTGTTTACAGAGAGATTCAGATTTCGTGTTCTCATGAAAAATGTTTTTTAAGGCCTTTTTTATGACATATTCAAATTTGAGAATTTTCGGAGTCCATTTACTATGCTTTCAAGTCCGATTTCGTGTACAGTGCAAAGCTGTCCGGTTTTGTCAGATTTCAAAGATTCAGCATTTTCTATCCGAGAACGTTGGAATTTTGACTTGATGTCTTCTGGTGATTTAAATTACACGTTATGATCTTTCAAATGAGATATGTTACACTTTTATTGGAGGTCATATGAAAGGGAAAATGAGGCTTTACATATAGTGGCAGAAGCTGAAATGTTTTCTTCTGGAATGATTCTATAATGGAATCTTGATAACCAAGGCCATTCGGCCAAGGGGAGAGAGAGAGAGAGTAGCCGAGAGGGAGAGAGCGAGAGAGCTAATGAGGTGAAGATAAGGTTGGCATCTTCATCATTTTAGTCCATTAATGACATTAAATACATGTCATCATGAAATTTGACTAAGAGGCTTAGTCCATTAATGACATTAAATACATGCCATCATGAAATTTGACTAAGAGGCCTTCTCTTATTGGCTCAAGTCTAGGGTTTCTAGGAAGTTCCAAGAGGCCTATAAATAGCAAGACAATTCCCCCCCCCCCCTTTCTCCCTCTTCTCACGCCAATCTCACCATCTTCTTCCTCTCCCTTTTTGTTTCTTGTTTTCTCATCTTTTGGCCCGAGAAGCTCATGCCCAAATAAATCCCGAACCGGCCCGTGTTTCTTCTCGTTACTACCCTAGAGCCCACGGTTTGGCCTTTGTAGGCCTAAGTTTGCTCGGCCAAGCAAGAAGGAAGCAAGGAGAAGGCCCAAAATTTCCTGAACTCACCCTTTTCTAGCCCGTTCTCTAGTTTTGTTAGTCGTTGAGTAAGTAAATTCCCTAATATCGGGAAAGGAAGTTGCGATACGTTGTAACATGGGTTGCTTGGCCAGTTTCGTGGTTGATTTACTTGGCCCGTTTTCTGGTTTCATGGTTATTCGTTCTTTCTCGACTAACGATGTTCACGTGTGATACTCACGTTTGATGTTTGTTTTTGTTGGTTTCGTAGCATGATTTTGCTATTTGAACCCATTGATGTCGGTACGGTAAGAGTCGACATGTGTAAACGACGATTGTCTCGTCCTCGCTTGATATTAGAGTTTTTACTTGCTAAGTCTTCCCGACTCATCCCCCGTTGTTTCCCTTTTTCAGGTCCGTAGGATGGCATCTCCCCCAGCCCGCGTTGGCAATCCCGTGGAGCAGAGAGCCAAAGTGCTCACCGTGATAGATGTCAGAGAAGACCGCGCCTACCACCGAATCACGACGCTTGTGATGTCCGATGAGGGCCTAACGGACTTGGTGCCTCATCTGTACGTGGCGTAGTAGCGCTATGCGAACGGAGAATGGGTTGGATCCCTATGTGGGTTCAATGGTGCTTTGGCGGTGCGGGCGGACCGGCTCCGGGATAAAGCCACAGGTGAGATGTGAGATGGCCTAGCGGACGGGACCGGGGTGGAGGTGAAGAAGCGAGGAGCGAGAAGCCGTAGTGGGTATAGGATAACCCAAGTCAAGTTTTGCTATTCATAGTCGGCTAAGAAATATGTGTTGTTTGCCATGGCCCGAAGGGCTTGTTAAAACATGTTCGCATGCATTGTAAACATAAGGTTTGCTCATGATGCTTCTTGTCTTATTTCTGCTGTGTGTATTGATTGTGATTGTCCCGAGATATTCTTCCGCTTGTGTGTAACGAAAGATAATAATGAACGGGACGTCACATGAATGACCCCGAGGTGGGGGCGTTACACTATCCGACGAGACGGCATCACTTAGAAGTCATACGAGCTCCTTGCCATCATCAATAAATAGCTTTTTTATTTATTTTATTTTATTTTTTGAATTAAGTGATCAAGTGGTGTCCGAATTAATATTGGCTTAATTGGACAACTTCATCTCCTCGAGCGATCTAAAAGGCATACTTATCTACATTGGTCCAGTGCATTTAAGATTTTAGTGGTAGATTGCTCTCAACAAGATTTATACCCAAGAACCAAAAAAAAGAAGCAAACTCCCTTTTCATTTAAGCCAGTTACTATTGGCACGGGTACAAAATGGAAGGTCAATGGGGAAAAACTATTTTGGGGAATAGTACCTTTATCTAGCTTTGTGCACACAGCTTTTAGTCGTCTACAACTACATGCGTACCTAGGTTTTTGCAAATTATTATGGACCCATAACATCACGATGGAACTGCATAGATAGGGTTGCCAAATCTCATATTTTCAGGGTATTGACAATGCCAAATATTCATGGTTCAAATCAAATATTCCATCATGGATCTACAAATCTTATGGTTAGTATTTTTTTTTTGTTTTTGAAAAAAATATGGTTAGTTGGCCCAAACATACTTCACCGCCCTTTTGTGTGTATGTGTGTGAGAGAGAGTGTGTGTGTTTTAGTTAAATTGGACTTTTGACTCTGATCAAAGAGGATATATGCCTCGTTTGGTTAGCAGGAATGAAACATTTAGAATAAATTAAAAGGAATTGGAACGAACATTGGGTAATCACAATGGTACATAAAATTTACTTAAGATGTGTGTAAAACCTTTGGATTGAATGTAAGATGTTTGCAACACCTTTGAAAAGTGAGCTGGGCATACAACAATGACAAGATGACGAGGAAGTGGTGGCTGAGGTGGCTAACAAGGATCGCCTAAAGGGAAGTGAATAGGTGATTTTAACAATTTTTGATAAATTTAAAGTGGGATTCAAAAGATCAAGAACAAAATTTAAACTTAAAGTGCAACTTTCAGATTTTAAACAAAATTTAAAAGTAAGTGTGCAATAGAATGTAATAAGCAAAAGGAGTTTTAAGGGATGATAAAATCTGCATACAAGACGTATAGTGGTTCAGTTTAGATCAAACCTAAGTCCACTCACCCACGTTGATAACCTACTGGCTGAATTTCACTAGATGATCAATGAGAGATCACAGTTAAGTTGTGTCGTTTATCCCCAAGTGCTTCTACCCAAAGCTGGTGTTGCTTATACCCAAGCCGATAGATCACACTATTTCACACCTAAGTACACACTTATGACATTGTCTACACCTTTCAATTGATTACACTTTACAGCTTATGAAAGACGAGTATATAGATCAAAGATTGAAAAGACTTTGGAATTATAGATTATGGACTTTGTATCTTACTTTTGCTCCTCGGCACCTTGGTCTTCTTTTATTCTCCTCCACTTCCAATATAGCCGTTGGAAAGTCTCTAGAGGATTATCTTCCAATCTTCACATTGGACAAATTTGTATGAAGAAGATTAAGTAGCCACTAATGAACAAAATCTGAATATCCGCTAATTCTGATCGCTCATATAACCAAAGTCATGGTTTCTATAAGTAGAGCTTCTCTGTTTGGAAAATAACTTGTCTCGAGATTGATTTGGTAATCATTTAAGATGTTTTGTATATTAAACCGTTGCAAGACAATCTTCAAGATTGAATCAATCAAATCTTTCTAAGTGTGAAATCCGAACCAGATCACTAGCCGTTATATTCAATCTGAATTTGTGTCACATTCTATACTTTATTACGTTCTGGACTTATGTTCTGAAATTTTGTTACAATCTGAACTTGTTCAGGATGGGAACATAAGTAGTTCTCTAAGTCTGAAGTTTTTCATCTCCAATATAAAGTGTGAAGTTCTTCATCTACAGTATAAAGTACGAACCTCTTTTACTTTAAGTAATTTCACAATCTGAACAAGATTAAGATTTCCATATGCTTCTCTTCCAAGAATAACTTCCCGAATCAAAATACTTCAAAGCATTTATCAGACTTACAAGACACGTGGATAGTTTTGTCAACTTCAAAATCTATTATGAGATTTTCTCAATAGTGGCAACGCGCATGTGAGCTTTTGTGGCATGTGGTGGCCCTTGGCTTCCACTGTGTTCATGATGGAGGTCTAGTTGTCCATGGTGGAAAGTGAAAGAAAGAAGAAGAATGAAAA